TTTTCTTTTTTTCCTTTTCTTTTCTTTTCTTTTCTTTTTTTTTTTTTTCTTCTTCGTTTTCTAACAAGGCATAGCAACTACGCTACTACGAGAAGAGAACAATTCCTTTTTCCATCACTGAGAGTCTTTGAATCGGCCCTCGGTTATACTATACATACTATTCAGACAGCGCAGGATTCGTCGGAAGCTTGATCCTGAGCGACAAACCCTCCTCCCCTTCGTTAGGGGATCGGAACTCGGATCGGTTAACGAAGGAAATAGAAGACGAACAGACTCCTAATTTCACTATCTTACGCCGTAAGAATACTCGATCGTTCGTGTCGATATACAATATCGTAACGTTTCCCGCAATTTATTCCGCGTCGTCGATAGGGATAGACGAAACGGTGGAAATCTTTAGGGCAAAGATTTTCCGAAGCTTCGCGATAGTATACGCGTAGAATCACGAATAACACGAAATAACGAGAGAATGTAGAGATGATGATGATGATGATGAAAAAAAAAGAAAAGAAGAAGAAAGGAAAAATGGATATGCTATCAGTCGAGAAGACGAGAGAATGTACAAGGATATATATAGGATCGTTCCGTTCGAATAGAGAAATAGACAGATCTCGCGGGATAATTTCAATTCACGTCCCGCGAAACTCGTAGGAGAAGAAGGATCATTTCCCGAGCTGCCTGGTGCGCGTGTCTTCTAACTAGAATTCTTCCGCGTTGCTGCTTCCTCAGCAATGATATGCATAGAAGAGTGAGGCCAGGAGCCAGAGCGCGCCGCCACCCCCGTAGAACCGGTTGCCCTCGACCCCGTTCCTACCGGGTCGTTTGCGTTTCGACTTCGATTTGGCGCGCCGTTTGCGCGAGAAAATGGCGTTGGTGGAGTTGGTCGGCGACTCGATGTTGCAGTAGCTCAGGTCGCAGCAACTTATGCAGATCTGGAACGAAATAACCGAATTTATTTCACCCGCACTCTTTCTCCTCTCTCTTTTATCCCTTCCGTTCTTCTTTCTTTCCCCTCGTTCCCCTTTTTTCTCTCAAAAGTTTCGATCGGTGCGCACAACGGTGGAAAAGAGAAAGAAGGCCAGGCCAGGTACACGGAAAAAATTCGCTATTTCGCACCTGCTGCGTGTCCACCGGGATGCAACCGACGGAGGCAGGGCCGCATTCCGCGCTGCTCACACAGCTCTTGCTCACCTGCAAACGGAAACGCCGTTTTTTCCCCGTTTTTCTACGAATCGTTGTAAACACTTGATCGCTCGATCGTCCCGTATGCGCGATCGTTCGACCATGCGTTCGTTCTCGATCTTTCGCGAGGCTCTCTCTCTTTCTCTATTCTTTCTTTCTTTCCTTTTTTCCCCTCCCGTTTCTCTAGCGATTGTTCGACCAGAGTATCGATTCCCGGTCGTTAGAATTCGCATCGCCACTCCATTTCTTCCCCCCCTCCTCCTCCACTCTGTTTAATTTCTAGATGTTCGATTTCGCGTATACAGAATGTTCATCTCGGTGATTGATACCGGGTTCTTCCTTTCTTCCCCGAAACTTAAAAAAAAAAAAAAAAAGAGAAAAAAAAGAAAATTCTCCATCGAGATCTCCACTTAAGCTTCTCGCACGAAACGAACGAGAATCCATCCCGCTCGGATGTTTGGAAAACGCTTTATACCACCGTGTCATCTGCGAATCTTCCCACCGGCAACGTATCTAAGCATTAATTAACCGATCGAACGGGATACCGAGACCTGTACGTGTAGAAGGGAACCGCGAACCGGGATAGGCTCCCCTAAGTGATCCCGATGTTCATAATTGAAAGAGTCGGTGGAAAGTGCTTAATCGGGGTACGCTCTTAAGAGAAGATACGCTTCTCTGCGAGTCATTACTCTTCCGCCGTGAATTCGCTTCCTCGAGTTTATCCATTAACAACATCCTGAGAGATCGGGGAATCGATAATACGTTTAACGCTTGGAAGCAATTATCATCCTCGCTCGGTTTTACGTTACACATGTTTCGCGACAAAGTCACGCTCGAGACGCAACGAAAAAATCGTGACGAGGTAAAAAAAAAGAGAAAGAAACGAGTCGATTTCGATCTCGAAGCAAAAATTTTCAAGTTTCCTCGATTGAGTCAAGTCGCGTCAATTATGCAAACCCGAATCGTTCGTCGAATCGCGAGGGGAGGAACGAGGGGGTCGGAGTTTTCCGCCCTCCTCAGCCGCGAGACGGCCAAAACTCTACTCCTACGACGTTTCTTGGCAGCTACTCCCAAGACCTGGTTAATCGCCTCGCTCGGGTCGAGTGTGTGGTCAGAGTGAGAAGAAAGAAAATTTGCTTGCCAACACGCTATTCCCTCGGCTGTCCAAAATGTGCAGCGATCTGCAGAAGTCCCGGCCGCCCGCCGGACACGGTGTATCTATCGCCCATTCGTTGCACATCTGCGAACAAAAGGGAGGAGGGGGGAAAGAAGAAAATAGGGCTCGAATCGAGTCGAATAATAACAGTGTGTATGCCGATCGAGGAGACACGTCGCGAGCCGATCGATCGGAGGAACGAGTCCAAAGTTCGAAGACAATTTCCACGTTGATTTGTTATACAAGAAAAAAGGAATTTCTCGTCGAGATTTGAAGAAGAAATAACACGGATGTCCGCGATAGAGACGAAACGAAATTGGGGGAGGGGGTTGTTCCTTCGATCGAACGTTCGCCGTGTAAAGTCGTAGTTACGCGCGTATAAAGTTTCGTGGTGCTGTATTCGGGGGTATCGAATTGGGGGGGAAGGGAAGAGGGAAAGAGGGAAGAAGATGAGAGAGAGAAGGAGGAGGGAGAAAGGATCGAGGGAATAAATTGTGGAAGCGAGAGGGGATATACCCTCCGTGGGGCATCTCTCGCGGTTCCCTGGCCATCGACCCGGTTTCGAATCAACGATTTTCGATACAGATTTCCGTCGGCGGAACCCCTATTTAGAGAGATGCTTAGGGTTGATCCTTGGCGGCGAAGCCTCCTCGCAAGCCTCCTCTTCTCCTTGTCTCGCGTCTCTCCTCCGTCGTTGCTCGATCCGATATCGGTAATTCCTTTGCGACACGGTCGGCTTAAAGAGTGGAGATTGGTTGCTCGGACAAGAGGGGAGGGGGGCGGTTGGAAAATAAGTAAAAAGGGAAAAAAGAAAAAAAAGGATCGATAGCGGGAAAGCGGATCTCGGACGGAGTTAAACGAAATTGCGGTTGGACCCGACCCGCGATACAGGCATTGCGAACTCTTTAAGAGTGGGGGAGTGCCGTTTAACGGGGGAGTCGTCGATACCTGGTTATCGCTGACGTTGACGCAAGTGTAGCACGTTAGACCTGCAACAACAGAGGGGGCGGTGGGGTGAGTAATAGCGTTGCACCAGAGACACCACAGGCCGGAGGAGGTTCGAGCGCGGGACAAAGGGCGGAGAGACGCAACAATTAAACGCGCTTAGGCGTTCCTTCGATATAATTCCGAGCTTGGAAATACACTTAACCTCGTGGAAAATGGATTGTCCCCGTCCAATGGAACTTGCAACTTGTCCCCATGGTGGATCGAGCCGCGACAAAAGCGAGTCTCCCTGCTCACCGGGGAGGAGAGAAGGTGTACGTTTGCAATCGTATTGTTTCTCAAAGGGAGATCCTTTCCTTCTCTTCCTCTCCCAACTCCTCTCAATTTCGTAATTAATACTTTTCGCTACCAAAAGATCGAATCCATTTCACGAGAATTTTTCTTTCCGGAATCGGAACAGAGCCGAGAGCAAAGGAAAGATTTTCCTCGTCCCCGTCACGCTAATGGAATACAAACTTTTTCATCGGAACTTTGATCGGAACTGGCGGGGAAGAGGGTAGCGGAGAGGCAAACGAGCGAACGAGTAGAGAGAAGGAAGGAAGCGCAAAGAAGAAGGAAGCGGCGTACTCTCTTTTTTCTTTTTTTCGAGCGACTCTCGAGCAAGGTAAACTCGCCGCTGCTCGGCGCATTTCGGAAACTGCGAATGGAGTTTGGTTTAAGTAAGGTTGGCAGGAAAGCGGTTGGCGATATTTCAGAACAATGCGTTACAAGCGAGGAACGTGGAGAGAAGGTGGAGGAGAGGGAGGGGGGAATGATTTGTGGGAAATTGGTAGAAGGTGGATGGAGGTAAAGTGGCCAGCGAGATCTGTTAAGCGGTAGAAAGGCAGGAAGGAGGATTAGCGGAGCTCGATTGCAGGATTCGAGAGGGTTGGATAAGCTCGAGTTAGCCGAGCAAATCATAGATCTGTTTGCCCCCGGTACTCTCTCTCTCTCTCTCTCTCTCTCTCTGTCTCCGCCCTTTCTCCCCGACTTTTCTTCCACTCGTCCCTCTCTCTCTCTCTGTCTCTCTCTCCCTCTCTCCTTCCTTTCTGGCCAACGTCGCTTTTCGACACCGAATACCCACGGTAGATGTCTTCCTCCTCCGCGGTTATTCCCTTCAGCCCGTCCTTCTGCTTCGACTCCTCCTTTCCGTTTCCGTTTCCGGAGAGGACGTTTCTGCCGCAAGTTTCCGCAGCCAGGAGCAGCCCGACCATCACCCACGTGATCATTCCTCACATCTCTGCAATGACAGAAATGGGACTGCGGATAATCTTACTGTACGTAATTGATCGCGACCAATCTCTTTTCGCGCGTGGCACGGAATCCATTGAAAATTCGTCCATTTTCAACCGACGAACGTAAATTCGTCGTCGATATGCGTGGACAGGCGAAGGGAAGAAAGAAAGGGGGGAAAAAAAAAAAAAAAAGAAGCGGACATCGTGCATCAAAGGATTTTATCGTTGACCGTGTCCGATAAATTACTCTTATCGCGCTTCGATACACGACTTATCGCTGTTTTCCATCCCCGCGTGAAAATCTGGTGGTGGATGACGATTAAAAAAAAAAAAATGGCCGTGTAATTACTAGATAGGAGGGGGGAGAGGAGATCGGCAAAAGA